TATGCGGTCTTTCATATTTGATCAGTAAAATTTTATTTTGCAAGGCAACTAGTCTTCTTACTTTACCTCATCCACCAACACATACACACACACCCCCACATCATACACACAACAACCCTTCTTCACTCACATTCACACACTCCTTAATAAACTTGCACATACTAATTACAAATTTTCTAGAGGTTAAACTATTTATAATCTTACTTTTTTGTAATCCTTAAGGGAAGGCGGGTCATTCCCAACACGAGTATCCTCTGATTACTTACTGGGAAGTCTCAGTATTATGTTGTTAACAAGATTACCGAAATAAACGTATTATTTATTTATAGTTATAAAACTAGGAGTTATACGTATTGATCCATTGTATACTTCGGCCCAGTGTAATCCACCTTCGCCTACCTATTTTATTTTATGAATAAAAGACTCACTTATAATTCTGAAAAGTACCTAAAAATAAAGCAATAATGAAAACAAATTAACAAGTTATAAAAATCATTTACTTATAATATATTATTAGTGCGTAATCAAATTAGTAAGTTATAAAAGGTAAATTTATTTTCAAAACTATTCGAAAAAACTAAAAAGTTCGTATTTATATAAAATTTAGTTGCAATAACTTTTAAAAACCACTGTTGTGATTAACAATACGCAAATCCTTAAAGAGATACAAGGATCTAAAGTTTTTATAACTGTTTGGATTTTCCAAGGGACCTTTAGTTTTCTCTTGACGTCTGGTGCCCCAAATATCAATAACTGAGCGGATATCTTCGTTTGTCGCAGCATGCAGCACAATAAGAATGGACGAACTGCCTATTCCACCTTGCTTTATCGATGCGCTCGCGCCACATGATTTTATTGCAACGTTATCGACGTGAACATATTTAATGACGTAGTCTGGGAAATAATTTTCGTATACATAAACTTGGCCCTCCTGCATAGAAACGGGACTGTTTTCTACAACTGCCGAGTCCAGATGCATTAGATAGTGAGCCCATTTGCCAACTTCCAACGGTGCCTTTGTCTGTTCACAAAACATTCTTGCCTTTCCTCGAACTATTATGAGGAGAAGAAAACAAAGCGTAAGTCGATACATTTGTTACTTGCTTAACTACGATACTACGATAGAAAATCTCTAGCACTGCAACAGGTGCGCGACAATTTTTTTTTTCAATGCCCATTGTTTGCGGTACAATGAGATTGATTTACGAAGAAAATGGTGATGTGTGTTTCGATGAAATCATACCACCATTACACCGCTCACTTGTTCATTTTATTTTTTATTACCGTAAGGAGTTTGATGAAATAAAACAAACATTTTAACGTCACATTTTATTGTCAAGAAATAATCCATGAGCGGTCCCTTAAAATAAATTTGATTTATTTATAATTTTTTTTTAGTATATAATAACATCTAAATAGATCCAGTGGACTCGAAAATGATTTGAAAAATGGTCAAAATTTAACAAATACAATGCTGTTTTTGTTAGACATCTCAATCGACTCAAAAATGTAAGACTTAAGTCTTTCAAAAATCTTTGGTGTACAGATTTATTTACGTAAATCGCCGAGTGATGGGACTTGAAAAAACATAATAAAAAATTGTTGCTAACATAATGACAATAATACAAATAATATCACGTTAATATCTATACCATTTATAAACTTTTAACTACTCCGAACCACTTTACAATAGAAGTATTAAAAAAAATTGGTCAAATGTGCACTGAGTACACTTTTTTAAAGATAAGAAATGTAGTTCCGTAAGACATCAAAGTAAAATTTCGAGATTAATAAGCGAAAAGATTCTCTTAGATTCATTTGATAATTGCACCATTACATACATAACTATAAGAAATTTTAAATTGTCCGTGTTTGTATAAACAAACATGGACAATTTATGAACTTTCTCTAAAATTCGTCAGAATAGTTTTAATATTTATTCATAAGTAATTAAGTCTTAAGGACTTATCAAAAATAAACCAAATAGCAAAAGATCCCGCGTTCTCTTGCATATCTTTTCATGATTTAGACAAAGTACAATAAAAGTTACAAAAATCGTACCTAAATGTTTATTTTGCATGATTTAGAAGCTTTTACAAATCAAAAAAATGACGAATGTAATTAAGAGTGCAATACTTAAGTTACTACTACATTAAAGCTAACGGGAAACAACCCGAACTAAGTAAAGGCCATGAGCTTAAAATTAATTAATTCATAGAATACATAAAAGCAAATAAGATCTCAGACTGACCGTCTTAAATAAATCTCTAAAAGGGACGGATAAACGATATATATGTCTTACGGAACTCAAGGCACATGAACTGGTTTTCTTTCATTAGTAAAAGTGTTGCTTGAAAAATGCAAACAGTAGCGCAGATTGATGCGGACCAGTTTTTACTTAGTTAAAAACTAATTTAAAAAACTTACGTGATGTATTATGAAACGTCAAGCTCAGTTGTTGTATGAATTTGAAGTCAGATTGACAACAATATAGTAACTAAGTATAAAATCTTATGTCATAATAATTCGTGTATTTTAAGGCACAAATAACTGGATGGCAAATATGAGGATGACAGTTTTAAAGAATTTTATAAATAATTAAAGTTATTGGCATTAAGATGATATGTTTAACCGCCTTCAAGTGTATTTTGATCCGAACGTTATGTATTAAAAAAGAATTGCTCCTTTCAATCAATCGAAATATTTAGAAAATTAAGTTATAAAATTGATACAATATGTAAGTATAAGTACATTATGACATATCAGAAACTATAGAGGAGAAAACATTTGTGGAATATACTCAATACGTAAAGAATTAAAATTGTGCATCGGCGGAAGCCCAATAATAAAGCAAATTAATCGTAAATACAAATCTTCAAATGTACTACTTTTCTTTCTAAAGTACCAGTATCCCAATTCATATCGCAAATAAACAAACAAGCCTTGTTCCCAATTAAGATTCTGAGTTTTAAGTACTTTATTTTAAATAAACATTACATTAATGTATTTTTAACATAAAATACTTTTAAAGGCAGTTGTAGTGAAAATTACGATTTAAAGTTAAATTTGAAGTATTAATTTACTTATTTAATTGACAAAATAATATTTTATAATTTATCTATATTTCCTTTTAATTTATAATTGTTCAGGGGATCATTTTAGGAAAATTAATTTTACTTTTATATGTAAATTTATATTTGAGTTTAATATTGGTCTTATGATTGGTCGGTTACTTTCATATAATATTTTAGCAGTGTTATAAAATTTTATAGTTACATAATATTTTTATACAATATATAGTAGGTAATATTACGCAGGAAACATTTGTCTTTGATAAATTCGTTCTGTTTATCGTTAAATATGTATTATAAAATTGGCATAGAGCAACACGGGCCACCGGCGGACCGGAGGAGAGTAACCATAACGGTTTTTCCCGATACAGAACTGTCTGTCATTTTTTGCGGAGGGAAATCTGCGCGCACATAAAACTATCGTCTGTCACTGTCTGAAACTCGCACATAAAAATTAAAACCATAAATTAACATTATCACAGTATCGCTCGGTGATAGCGACAACTCGGATATAAACTCAGATCAGTCGCTCGACCGATCCGCATAGTCTGAGGGCGAGCGGCCTGTGTTAGTAAACAAATGCGAAACAACACGACCGTTATTATTGTATTTTTTTAGTTTTAAAACAAGTAAATAGCAACAATTTTATTAAAAATTACTTATATATGAAAAGTAACACCATTTTTTGTAAGTTTGAAGTGTCAGATCTCTTTTTGCGGCAAAAAACTGAAACATTCGATGTTTTTGTATAACGTGGATTCAGCCGCGCAACTAGATTGTCTAGTGAGCAGTGTGGCTGCAACTAGTTTTATTATATGCATGGGCAACGTCTGAATATGGTTACTCCCATCCGGAACGCCGCGCCGGTGGCCCGTGTAATGCAATGCTCTATGTAAAATTTGTTTTCTAGTCTGACATATTGTTTATATTATAAAGTTAACATTTCATAGTAAGAAGTTCAACAATATTAATTAGCTTGTTCAGTAATTATGTAAACGAGGTGAAGAACAAAATTTAAAAATTAAAATAACACAGAAGGGTTTCTTTATATCATAACGCATTAAGTAACCGTGACATGATCTTCATGTACCCCTTAAACTGCTTCAATATTCACTTTATATTTATAGAGTAAGCTGCCTAACTTTAAGCATTATAGACATATATTTACATTACCTTAAAGTTGATATTTCGGCATTCGAATCTGTAATTATTCTAATAACATGAATAAAAGTTACAATAAAAGTGGAATAAGAACAAATTTGTAAGGTAATTTGTGGAAATAGCACATAACTGTTCATTATCTTAAATAGCTTCGGATTTTAGTCATTGTACTCATTGGTGTAGTGTCAGTTATGTAGTTTAATGATGAATAGTAGGTATTTTATCATTCCTTGGATATGTATTAAATTATTCTTGGCAATGTTTCCGCAATCCATTGAACGTTGAGATACTGTGTAATTTTTGTACTTCACAAACTTTCATCGACAGAAATATCTTTTATAAACAAATATTCTATGCGATATGAAACTTATTAATTTTACTTACGTATAAATATATGGTATATAAATACAATTTAATTTAGCAACAAACTCGTATTATAACTCTATAGTATTTAACATTAATATTAAAAATTTAAACACGGACGATATACTTACTTGTATAGGCATTTCCTTACTAACTGGGCAACTCAGTTTCTCGCATGATTTTTATTACGAAACTTTTTAAAACCATTGCAATATTAATATTTGATATAAATGTATCATAAATTACATGTTATAAAATTTTAGAAAATAGTTTTCTAATCATGATTTATTTATTTTTTAAATACCGTAAAACAGTCCCCTAGTTGGTCACCAATTCCAAAAAAATTTTCCATTCAATTATTTTAATGCATGTAATTGTAAGTAAACTGTTTAGTAATATTTTTTCGTACATTTGTAGTTTATGTATATAAAAAGTTTATTTCTCAATCATAATATTATGATACAATGTGATTTCATTAGTATTAACAGTCCCATGGCAAGAGTCCCCCTACTTTAAACAAACACAGGGGACTGTTTGCACTACCAGCAGTGCTAGCATGGACAGGAGACAATTTTATCCCCGGGGAAAGGAGAAAATGTTTATCTTACCTTTATCCACCCTTCGAGCATGGGCACACCGGTGGATAAAAAATCCACAGTAGATAAAATGGAAGATAGACTTAGATAGACTTTTTGTAATCATATAAACTTAAACCCACGTTCAATGAACTAGGATAAAATTATCCCTTTCATAGGTCAAAAAAGCATAATTTTTTATTTTTTATTTGGCTCCATGCTACGGACGGGGGATATATGTCTACTCGTTATGTCAAACGGGGATATATTTCTCCCCGTTGCCGTGCTTTGGCATAAGGACAAAATAATTTCATCTCTTGTCAGTTGATATAATCGGGGGATACATTTTTTGTCTGCAGCCCATGCTAGCCGTGCTGAGGATTGACCCATAATATATATTCGAGAGACACTTGAGAAAAAAAGAGAAGCAGAAGATCCACGTTACGAAGGAATAAAAATGATCCAGTAAAAAGGCAGAAATTGAGGGAAAAAGAATATCCGAAATATATCAAGAAGAAAGAGAAAGGTAGTAGAATATTAGTAAAAGATATGAATCCGCGAGAACATAGAAAAGTAACAAAAAAAAATGGCGCGAGCATTGTGCTAAATATCGCAACAAATAAGAAAAGCATTAAAGGACATTAACAACTTATTTTTCAGAGAAAATATATCGGATTCCGAAGAAGATAGAAATAATGAACGGATAAATCAATGACTGATAAACCACGGAACCTTATTAAATATCTGCAAAATGATTGAGAGTTGTTCTTACCCCTCGAGAGACACATAAATACATTAATATCAAGCTTTGAAAACACTGAAGGATAATCTTACTGATGAAGATGCAATTATACACATAAATTTTTCTTAAAATTTCAACTAAACACGGACAGAAAATACAGGGCGTATCATTTTGGAGGATCTCGTATGCAGAAAAACTCTTCACACGATAGTGCTTTACTTAAACAAAAAAAAAAAAACTACGAAATCATGCTGTATAGTTTTCAAAGTTTTCATGGAACTATTCTGAAAGTAGAAAGAAGCTCCCGTTGGGATTAGAGCGACACGTAAGAGAAATGCTGATTCTGTGATAGCCACTGGTGGAGATATCCAAGACTTAGATACTTTTCTACAGGCTGTAATAGTAAAATGTCCTGTTATTTATTACATTGATCGTATGACTTCTAAAATTGAACAAGAAACAAAACATATGAAGGCTTTTAAAGGCATTCTTCAAGTACAACCGATAACAGAAAACGTATAATCAATCAGAAAGTTTGAAAACTACCTCCATGGCACTCACCACTTTGAGCTGGTTTTGTAAAAATATTAACTGTGAACATTTAAAGCTTTTGACGAAATATATACCGACTCTGAAAATGAAACCAACGACGAACGAAACGCTCCCATCATTCTAACTAGTTTGCAAAGTGAAATTAAAGCAGGGCCGAGTTCTACAACTGTTCATTCTTTTAGTAATGGTGATTTTTTTTTGGTAAAATTTCAAGTATAAAAGAAAGAATATCGATATGCAGGAAAATGGTGAAATAACTACTACATTTCTGAAAATCTATGATAAGAAGGCTCAGTTGTTTCTGGAAAAACTTCCTGTTCCTCAAGTACAGCTGAAGAAACTAGAGGTGTTTTGTAAATTTGATAAGCATATTAATATTTTTGAAAAAAAAAAAATCGATTTTGTTTTCTTTATATTATTTAATTAAAAATAGTTTGTTGTAATAAGTTTACTCCATTGTCGATTATAAAATATATAAATGGTTTATTTTTATATTGAAGAACGGAAAAGTTTAAATGATACTCATAAGTTCATATTTAAACTGAAAAGCAAATATAACCAATAAGTCAAAATGGTAAATACATTAATTGATTTTGTTTTATTTTCAAATTACTAAAACACAAAGCTTTTCCTTCAAAAAAAAAAACCAGTCCCCTGATATAGGCAACAGTTCCCTGTGTCGTTTTTTTAAAATGTACAATATATATAGGATATTACCGCATATTGTTACTAGCCTTATGAACTAACGTATTGGATTTATTTTTAGCTAAATATTAAATTAATTCGTTAGTTAATTCAAGTAATAAAATCTTTGAAACATTTTTAGAGGAAATGACCCTGTTAGTAGAAAAATGCCCATATAGCAGATCTAAACGGTCCGAAAGTGTTTACATAAAATCGGTTTCGGACGTTTGTGTTCCTTACTTCGAAAATGGTCGAGTGCTATCCGCGCTACGTTTGCATAGTCACATGACGTGACGTGTTACGTCGACGCGTGACGTATTACGTCAACGCAGGACGTGAGAACGTTCGTCGATTACGTCGACGTTGGAACGTGCTAACAGTTTACATGTGTATAGTGGCGGCGGTGTAGCGCGCCTCACCTCGTCTCCATCCCCACTGGGAAGGTCGATACTGCAACAAAATTAATTTAAACAAATTAACAACTTCTACTATGAAAGTAGCATATTATGTTAAACATTAGACTGATCTTCAGGTTCATAATCACGTAATTGAGACACTGTTATAACTAATCCGAAGAGGACGTATAAAAGTTCGACAAAACTCTCCAAATAATGTCAGCTTCACATAATAAACTGCGGGCGAGCATAATATTAAAATACAAACACAACCGTTTGTTAGAAATTATCGATAAGAAAATATGATCACGATGAAATATTTTAAAGGATGAACATCCTTTTATTTTTAATAATTTAAGTAATTTAAAACACAAGATTTTATTAATTCTATCCACAAGTGTCAATGGGGCAATAGTAACAGTCATTCTCATTATTCTTCAATTAAATTTAGTTCGACATGCGTGGCAAAACGAAGAACGTGGCACAACATTTTCTCTTTTTGAACAATTTAATTATTGCATTCTATAAAGATAAAAAGTCCTCAGAACTAATTTCAAATAAAATAGACAGGGTGAAAATATTTGTAAGCACGGGTGTCAGTTAAGGCAGCCCAGTCGACATGATGTAAATGCGTTGTCACCACGGCTGACAAGGATGGAATGCTCAGACGGACCATTATAAAGTGTCTTTAAAATTAAAATCAGAATTACCTAGATTCTAGGAAGAGAAAGAAATGCTGCTAGAAAGATCTCATAGTTTCCAGTATACGGTGCTATATTTTCTTTTTGGAATGTGAGAGTTCTGGTACATTCTTCAAATGGAGAGTACAGCAATGAACTTGCGTGACCTTAACAGGCTGACGAAAATTCGTTAGCTGCACGCTCCAGTCTATGGCTGGACTATATTAATTATTATTAATACAATGGATATTCAAAGTTGGAGAAATACATAAAAATATATACAGGGTTATTTTTCAAAGAGTAGTCAAGTTTTAAACTTAAGTTCAAATATATAAATAATGATATTGCATTATTTGAAAATACGAGTAAATAAGGCTTTTGTTTGAAATCACCCCAAATTGAATGTGATTTATGGGCCACAACGTTTTTGCCTACCGATCGACCCTTACTAATGTGTGCGTGAGCAGTTAAATTAGTTAAAATAATCCATTACCACGCAATTAGAATTTAAAAAATAAAAGGGATAGAATGTTTGAGTTTTATTTTTTCTCCATCATTTGCTTATATTACTTATTCTGAACTTTCTCTGCAAATTTGGCCGGTTATTGCAAAATAACCCTGTATCTTTAAATTACACAAGGTAAGGAAAGGGTAATTTGTTTTTAAAAATTACTGAAAGACGCTACGGCGGAGTGGCGGGAAGGCGTTCAATACTGCGCAACTTGGCGTTCACCGGTCAACAGCGTGCGTTTTGTGTCCGAGCATATTCCAAGAACAATAATTTTATCATTATGGCACGTTTGTTACGTGCTAATTTTAAAATTCGAACCTCACTTGAATATGGATCAATGGATTCAATCAATCGTTACAGTTTAACAAGTTAAATAAAAGCTTGTAAAATACTGGTCGCACATATGCTGTGAGAGTCGAAGGAACGATTGAGTGTTCGACAATCAACAAGTCCAACAATGTTTTTTCGTATTCGTAGTAGTCAAGCGCTAACTGTGAGATAATTTCGAGTTATGATGATTCCAATTTAGTATTAACTGGTTTACCTAATTGTGAAACTTGTGGAGTAATCGAAGACTTACATTATTTTTAATGGAATGTGAGTGGAATCGAGGAGCGAAAAAGCGAATTATTTATGAGAACATAAAAGGTAAACGTGTATGTAATGAGTATTGCGCAAGGCATTCTGCGTACCCCTACCTCGGATATTGCATCTAGTATGTGCAGATGCTATAGATTTAAGTTAGTTATAATGAGATTGACATGTTCACAAATAAAAATCCTTTAAATAGGTAGGCTTTAGTATTCTACAACTAATAGTAAACAATCAAATCAATTTATCGTATTACGAGTTTAAATAGGCGTCGGTATTTCAGGCTTTATACTAACGTGTACTGAGAAGTTTTCGCTTAAAATTAGAAGAGTATCAGGATCCTACTGGAAATTTCCTTATTCTCAACATCGTATAGTGGGTTTTTGAGGAATGCGAGGGAAGGATAAATTGATCGAAAAATATTTAGGTTCATGTTTCTTTCTGAAATTTTAGTTATATTTTATATTCATTTGATTAAAATGGATAAATCAAGTAACAGATATTCTTTAAGAGAATTAAAAAGAGCAACTATCACTGAAGTATTGTTTTGCGTACATACATTAGAAACTGAAATTATTTTATTTAAAACGTAACTTCTTCCTTATAGTGACACTGTGTAGGAAGTAACTTCACTTCTGTGTCAACATGCGACATTGAGTGAGCGTAAAATCGTGCTTTCATCGAGGCATATATAAAACCCATAACTTTTTACTACCTGTGATCACTGTGAAATTTGTAGATATATATGGTGGCGATGGTGGCAGCCGGTTGGTGTTGTGAACAAAACAAATTTACTTTACTTTTATTTACTTATTTTTTAGACGTGGTAGAGCCACGCTGCAGCTATATTTGTAGTATAGTTGTAGCATGAATGGGTCGGCTCGACCGGGGAAGGACCACGCTTTCACGGAATATCAGTGTAAAAATAGCAGCTTAATGTTGTTATGTTTCGTATGGTGAGTGTAGAGAACCGGAAACCCTTTTTGCTGGTAACGAGGCATTCCATCTTAGTCCTCAGGGTTGACAACGCATCTGCATTATGATTCCTAATCGAGAATAAATGTAGATGTCTATGGGCCACAATATCCATTTACCATCGAGTGGCCTGTGTGCACGTTTGTCACCCTTATTATATAAAAAAATGAGATACCTTGATGATGAATTGTCCGCTGCGCGTGTGCGGGTTCTTAAAGGCGTAGAGGAGCCAGGCGGCTAGGCAGCAGACGAGCGCGACCAGCACGAAGGCGGCCACCGCCCCACCGATGGGCGAGCGCGACGCCTCCGGCCCCGCAGCCCCCGCCACCACCGCGCCCCGCCCCACCGGGCCCTTCGCCTCCGTCTCCGTATGCACTGCACGACACCATCACTACTTAGTATTTGTAGTTGATAACGAGTACTCGCATTTGAAACCGCCATTAATAAATTACATACACGTGGTAGAGTCATGCTGCAGCTATATTAGTAGTATAGTTGTAACACGAATGGGTCGGCTCGACCGGGGAAGGACCACGCTCTCACAGAATACCAGCGTAAAATAGCAGCTTAACACTGCTGTGTTTCGTATGGTGAGTGTAGAGAACCGGAAACCCTTTTTTACTGGAAAAGAGGCATTCTATTTTAGTCCACACGGGTGACACAACACACCTGCATTTTGATTCGCAAACGAGGATAAATGTAGATGTTTATGGGCCATAGCAACCACGTACTATCAGGTGGACTGTGTGCTTGTTTGTCACCATATCCTATAAAAAACATGCATAAACACTAATACCTGTCACCTGTTGTAGGCAGAGATTACGGACCTCCATCTGACTATGAATTTTGATCCTGACCACACCTCACTCGCCTCCTTTACACTCTTAAGTCTACACATACACACTCGTTGGTCAAGAATACTCTGAATTTGGCCCATCTCAAATATATTGCCAATTTGATCGATAAATTTTTATAAACTACACTATAACTTTAAACTAATAAATTCCTACATCGCATAATTTGAATTTGAAAAGAACTAGAAAGATCGTATCATCATATATTATAAATTTAAAAATTCAAATTAGTAGTCAGGGTAGTAAAGTTACACAAATAAAATATAAATTTGATTATAAAAATTAAAAAAATATAACGTAATTACACTTTCATATACCATTACTACACATTCTTATACCATTGACTGAAGTGTCAATACCCAATTCTTAACACATTACTACAAGATAAAGTAGTGCCTTGTAACTTGGTGGTTTTACCATTTACATTTAAATTAGATTTATATTTTTTATAAATATACAAATTAGACAATAACGTTATTATCTAATATTATCATATAATTTCTACAGAACACAAACCTACCTACAAAAGTTTCGCTTTCACGGCCTATAAAGTACTTGTATACAGGGTTATTTTGCAATAACCGGCCAAAATTGCAGAGAAAATAAATAATCTAGGCAAATAGCGAAAAAATATTAATTAAAAAAATCTCAAATATTCTATCCTTTTTATCTTTTAAATTCAAAATGCGTGGAAATACATTATTTCAACTGATTTTACTGCGCACGCACACATTCGAAGGATCGGTCGGTAGGCAAAAACGTTGTTGCCCATAAATCACATTAAATTTGGGATAATTTCAAATAAAAGTAGAAGCCTTATTTACTCGTATTTTCAAAAACTGCAATAACGGTATATCATTATTAATATATTTAAACTTAAGTTTAAAAGGAGATGTATGAAATTGGGTTCTTAACATCGTTTGTAACAGTTATACAAAAATATGTGGGTAATATAAAGATAAACTATAAGCATAATTATATGGTTTTTATTTCTGTAATGTATGGGACAATTATAAAAACATTTTTAAAACTGAAAAACGAAAACTAATCCTTTTACCATGGCAAAAACAAAACATTTTTAAATATTTTTATGTATTTTGTCTATGGCATTAGATAATGAAGGCTATTTTTGTAATAAATAGCCTTTAGTATCACAAAAACTCATAATAATGACACGTTGCAATCTTTTTAGAAAATCGATTGAATAGGCTACGTTATTAAACTGAACAAAATATTTTAATAATATCGGACACAATTGAACAGGCTGTATCATTGCATTTTTCGAAGAAGACTTGGTAACTTCGAGTTTAAACTTGTCATCTTGTCATACGCATTGGCATTGTGGTTGTGTTTGTGGATATATTTCGTGTTTTTATTTTTGTGAATTAATTTAACTTGATCCTTGGCTTTTCTCTCGATTTACAGGACAGTAGGTTGTTGCGCCCACATAATGACAATAATGTGTTACTTGGGTATTGAGAGGAATAGAACAGACAATGTACAGCCTCCGGTTGCTTTTATACATGACATTTTATTAATAATTGCAGAAAATAATTAAACAATTAGAAAAGTTTGAGTTGTATTTTATTTTATTTAATAATAACTAAAAAACGGCATCCTTTTGTGTTCTTTCAATTTATTGAAACAACTTATTCCAGGAACGATTGATTTTACTTCATAACCTACAAATTATAAAGCAAAATAAAAACAAAACCCCAGGTCTTACAAAAATATGATTTTTTGTCGTAAGTAGCAAAATGTTTAAATCTTTAAAATAAAATATATTTAAACTTTGTTTACGCCGGGCCCAAGCTTGTATGGAACCAAGTTAATCTCCTTTGGCTACTCTTTGAAAAATAACCCTGCATAATTAAACAGTAAGCAATTGATATGTGTGTCAATTGTTTACGTTTTTATATTAGACTACCTACTCGCCGCGTTGCTGCCGCAGGAGAAAAAAAATGGGTATATCGTTTTAAATTTGGAAGAGTTATATTGTTTAATTAGGAATAATAATACATACATTGAAATTGTATGATATATAACCTTTGAGGCAATTTGTCGATACGATACGCGCGCCACCTACTGTTAAGTTAATCGTACTATGCCCATAACCTTCGCGCAAGTGCAAGTAATAAATTGACAATGTTTTAATCGCAACCTGATGAATGGTATGTCAGTGCATAAAATACGAACAAGCAAATATTAATTTTAAGGTGACACTAGTCGACATTATTTCCATAGAAATTTCGGAGAGGTTTTACTCCGCTGTTTGACAGTGTACATCCAAAATTAAACATGATATCGTTTTGTCTCATTATTAAATTTGTCTGTACGGAAACAGAATAGTAAAATAAAATGTTATTAAAAAGTTACGAGCTACCAAAGATTCGTTTTTATTGCCAATTTTAACACAACTTTGGGCGTAAATTAGTAATAAAAGAAGTGAAAAATTTCCAAAACAAAGTCGGTACCGACACAACTCAATTATCGAAGAACTCAATAAATTTTATTTGTAATTGATTAATGCAGTGGTTTTTTCATAAAACCCCTTCTTCCAAAGGCCTTTTCGTATTTTTTTATGCGCGCATGTTACTATGAATTATCGTGCATCTCACTGAATAATGTCTCCCCCGGTGCGGTGCGGGAGGACGATGCTTACACAAACATGCACAGGCGGTGACGTGCGCTTATATTCGAGTTTTATTCGAAACGAAAAGTTTTGCTATTTTGTAATTTGGACGCCAAAGACAAAAGACGGCATGGAAATTGATATAATTGAAAGAGATGATGCGTTTTGGACGACAGACAATATTTTAAAATTTTCGTCTGTAATATAACATAATTATAAAAGTAAAAAAAGTAAAGTCTATATTCGATTACTATATAAAATTGCAACAATTTCATTGGTGCCGACGGGGATCGAACCCGGGTTGGTCGCGTAATGTGATACTTACACCGAGCGCTAACCATCTGAGCTACCACGGCTCTCAATGCAAGTGTTATAAATAAATAAAGAATTACAAAACAATTTAATTATTTATTAGACGACTTTTGCGGCGGACAAACAAAGTATATTATGTGGGATTTTCATAGGTACCTAATGTTATTACCTAGATACCTACAATCTACTGTACAACAAAATGTCACAAAACCTCGCCGCGTCGTGGCCACAAAATTGTAAACTTTAGGTAGGTACGTCAGTACTAAGAAAACAATCTTGATGGGTCACTTGTCTTGATAAAAACCTGTGCTTACGTTTAGTGATATTGAGTATATATTATAAAAAAAGCCAGGTAAGTAAGTATTTTTGAAAACAATTTATAGGTAGGCAGACCAATTACGATTATTATCTAAATATTATAAATGCGAAAGTTTGGATATTTGGATGGACGGATGAATGGATGTATGTTACTCAATCACGCTAGAACGGCTGAAGGGATCTGGATGATATTTTGCTCAGAGATAGGCTATAGTCTGGAATTTTTTTTTCAAAAAAACGTTACCCCACACTAGGATTTTCTCCTGTATCGTGGAGGCAGTTTACAAACATCCAGACCCGGAACAATTATTTGTAGACCATACAAATACTTGTTCGATTGATTCGAACCCGCGGCTCCCAGTACAAAAATTCATTGCTAAGCCACTGCGCCACGGAGCTGCCAAATATCATATATGATACCGTTTATTCAGGTATTTCGTTGCCGTGGGATAATTATCGAGTTACACACGTTCGAAGCCGAACTCTTGAGTGATTGCTGCATGACCACTCGGGGAAAACTAAACATAATAAAATAAGCAATCTATATTAGGTATATAGAGCCACAGAGGTATACCTAATAATTTCGCGGTTTCACCCGCGTTATCACGTGTCCGAGATGCGTGGCATGACATGACACCTAGTTCAAGCATTTTATAATTGCAATCAAATATTTTATTTGATTGTAATATATGGAAAAATTGTCATGATTAATGGAGTACTTTTATTTTATCTGTCGGCATATTATGCGCGGTTTTTTCCAGTTTTAAAGAAAAACGTACACGAGACATGAAAAGTGTGTAGGCAAGAAATGATTCTTGATAAATTTGCTATCAACCTCTTATACTTATTAATCAATTAAATTTAAACTTTCAAAATACCATAGCAACGTGAAATGAAAGAGTTCAGAAATAAAGATGTAACTAATCATTGCTATGCTCACCCGGGAGATAGATAAAAGTACTCAATTAATTTTGAATTTATTTTATCTACTAGCTGTACCCCGCGACTTCGTCCGCGTTTAGTTTAGGGCGTTAATTTTGTTGCAAAGACACCTAATAATTTTTCTAAAATTTAAGCAGGCTAAGTTACTTCTTATAACATGAGCTATCTACTAGTGAAAGTCCCGTCAAAGTCGGTCCAGCCGTTTTGGAAATTAACCGCAACAAAGACAGACAGACATACAAAAATGTTAAAAATTGTGTTAATGTTATAAGTACCGTATACAGTTTCATACGCAATTAGTAAAAAGCTGTTATTTTGACATTACAAACAGACACTTCAATTTTATTTATTTGTGTAGATATAGATAACGATTGAACTAACGACTAACCTAACCTCGCTCATAGAAGCTTTCAATACTGGCTTCTCAGTTCGCACCGGGCTAGGGGTTATGCGTTGTTTGCGCGTCAAGCCAAGTAGGTATTGAATTCTTTTAATTTTACATTATCTCTTAAACTATGTACTATATAAACATGGTATAAAGAACGAAGTTTATCTTCATAAAATTGTCTTGATAATGAAGTAACTTTGGTTCGTAAGGTGCCTAATAATTAAATTTTAATTTTTTTTGTCACAAAATGCCTAATTGTGGCTTATATATAAGAAATAGACATATGTTATCGCGGACTTTTTTAGACGGAGTAAAGATCTATATTTTTCTAGAACATTGTATTTACGTATCCCGAACCATAACAGCGCTTTTTCTTCTGACTTCCTTAACAAATATAGGCTAGCTGAGATATATAGCCTAATGCTGTATAGCCTATATTATTCAACATGAATCTGGCTATAATATCCAAAAAAAGATTTTTCAAATCTGACTGGTAGTTCCAGAGATTAGCACGTTTAAACAAACAAAAACCCTCTTCTGCTTTATTATATTAGTATAGATGTTGCATCGTGTTCGTGTAACTTCGTTTTCATTCTAACGGTTCGGAACACCGTACGAACAAGACATGCGTGAATACTAGTGTCGATATGCTCATCACTGATACTATCTCTGTCGGGCACGATGCCAGGTGAGACAGCGTGCTTTTTGGCCGCGCCCACCAGCGAGTTCGAGCCCGCGACTTGTGCCACCTTAATATATTAGATTATAGTAATTATTCCAATAATTAATTTATAATATTTCTTATTCTAGGAAAATGATGACCATAATATACTATATTACCCAACCGAGAAAATTAAAACCTTTTCCACGTTGCGAATATTCTGACAACTTTACTGGCAACTATGTGGTGGTGGCGGAAAAAAAAATCCATCACCACCTTTCGTCCCGCGGGTGCCATAAAAACGAGACAAGGTCCGAAAAATCTTATGGCCTCCGATACATAGCGGTATAACGATCTATTTAAAACCAAACGTAAAACAAGTACTAAGGTCGGCGATGGACAGTCAATCATCAACGCCGGCCAAGCGTGATGATTAAGGAAAATAAGGAAGATTTTCTTCATTTATTATACAGGGAGTAAGACCCATGTCTAACTGTGAACTTTTACGGCTGATGATGTAGATGTAACTATAGAATAAAGTTTTATTGTTCCCCCCCCCCCCCCCCCCCCCCAAACAGTTTATAAACCGTTGTAGAAACGATCAAACTTGGCGGCATGCCGTTATCCATAACCTTTTGTTTATATCAAAATGGATCTTGTAATAATGTCTGCTCTTGAAGTGATATATTAGATTAAATTATAGAAAAAATTTATATATATGTATCTTATAAACTTGTATCAAATATTAAATTCAACCTTACATAAATAAAATGATGTAAAGGTGGAAAACAACCGTCGCGTAGTTTGAACGAGTGATTATGAATATAAACTGCACTTTGTCAAATGTGGTGTAAAGCATATCTTGCCGCATTACCACATTGTCAGATGAATGTGCAGAGCCGCATAGGCTAACAGCGCCAACATCTCGAAAAGAGATTACCATCAAGGTCCGCTTTGGTGTTAATGTATTTTCCTAGATTGCAAAACTTTATGGGCTGTGCCAGGACTGATCTGATCTACTCTAAAATCAGAAAAAAAAATGCAGCACGTTTTTATAACATCGATCGATTTGCTGAATATCTCACAAACCATAGGGAATATAAAACAGTTTGAAACTAAATTTTTAGGTTCGCCAATTTACACAAAAAAAGGTCCTTTCAACGCTCTAAAGTTTTAAGCTACATAGATTTTTTTTAAAATCAAATTTACAACAAAACTGGAGGTTTTCATGAAATTAATAGATGTTCATTTTTTATTTTAACATTTTCCCTTATTACAACACTGTTTATGAGATATTAAGTGGTTTTTCCTTAATTAAACTACTTGCCCAAAGACTATTAATGTTTTTTTTTGGATTAAGTTTAAGCGGATGAAGTTGCGGGAAAAGGCTAGTTATAAAATAATACTCACCAGTGCTGACGACGACGATAGAGTTGTTTTGACCATCGGTTGTGTAAGCAGTGTTGCTGTTTTCAGAGGGCACGTTGACAGGCGGGTGGGCGGGAGCGGGACATGACGACGCGTTTGCTATGGACGTTTTCTCACAATCTGACGGCAAATTATAGGTTATTGCAATTTATTACATAATACCATTTTACTTCTTCAGTGAGCACCAAACTGTTTTAAATGTTTGTGTTTACAAGAAAACATTGAGGCAAATAGTTCGTTCTATTGCAAACGTCCAACAGCGGATTGTCTAAGTCGTGATAATAATAATATTTTTTAAAGCAAAGGTGTACACGATAAATAATATCGATGAACGACAAATTAGCTTAGAGCTAATATAGGCGCCATATGTGAGCTAGAAATATACTTAAATCACTTTAAGAAAGTAATTTTACGACTTTTATTTTAATTTAAAGGATTTGTCTTTTTATCAGATTGTTAATTTTCCTCTTCATTATTGCACATTGCATTCACTATTACTACGAACATATGGCCACTGTTTACATATTTGAGCCACGAAATGTATATAAAGAATGAAGCAGAGCAAAAGGCGGATTTTGTATGCGATTAAAAAGTGGATAATATTATTTTCTTGGAAAATTTAATCTTTAATTATTATAAACTTACAACTAAATATATTATTTACGTAGTGAAACATTTAGAAGAAAATTGAGAATGATAATATAATTAAATGACACTATTCTTTTAATGAATAAATGAATGTATGAACTTTAAGTATATTTTGAATTATGTAAATATTTAACACATATTTTATATACGTGAGCAGTAATTATCTTCGAGTAATATTACATTATTATTCATCGACGACACAATATACTTAATATTACCAATAAATAATAAAAAAAAAACAAAACTGTTAAAACGCGAAATAACCAAACCCTTATATCCTTTGTCTCACACTGGAAAAATTATTTAATATTATTGGTCCTTCTCAAGCAGTTCAAAATCGTGGACACAAATTTTATCTAAGAAGAGTCTATAAGTAACTGATATTATCGCATTTAATTAAATTATTTTAATTATTTTATTTCGTGGATTTTGCATTATAGAGTCATCTATAGGCAGGCACAGGGGAACTCCCGTTTAGTTAAGATTTGTTTTATTCAATGTATTTACATTTCAGTGTAGTGCATTTCAAATGGCTTACATTTCAGAATTAAAGAATTATAGTATAATATAATGATTGCAGAATTAAAGAATAGGGGTAAATAAATAAACCAAGCGAAAGACAAAGCTTTTAAAGGACATGCATAATTTATACTTACTTTGGTAGGATTTTCACGGCAGGATTAAATAATTAAATATAGCTTTAAATTGTATGTCCGTGGTAAAATAAAAATACCTTTTTTTACAAATTACTTATTTGTTTTATAACTTATTTTCAAAAATTTGTTTGATAAATTTTGAACCTAACATATTTTTTACTACTAGCTTAGATAATTTATTATAAATATACTAATAAAAAAACTTACTTCTAACGACCCAGTCTTGTTTGTTTCTATCAGTGCCACTCGAACACTTCTGGATTTGCTCGCACCATGAGCACTGAAATATTTTTGTACAATTATATATAATGTGAGCGTTCTATTAATGTAAAATTAACTGCTCCGTGGCGTAATGGCTAAGCGTCACCCCCACCACCCATTATTCTATAAAAAAAAAAACAGGGAATGGGTAGCAGCGTCTCTTTGATAACATACATAATAAACTACGGTTTACTACACGCGTTCCAAGCGTGTCAACTATGACAAATATCCCTCCTATGAGGCGATCTATGGGAAAAGTTTACGTTCAGAAGTGGACTTTTGTAAGGCTGCAAAGAGGTAAAAGTAGAAAAATAGAAGAAAATAAAATAAATTACAATAGAATACAAAGATACTGTAATTTTAACAAATTTAAAATTTATGTTGCTTTGAATTTGAAACACGAATTTAATTAATTGTAATTGAAGCATATGCGGGTTAAAAGTATATTCTTAATAAGTACAGTTAACAACCAATTTGGACGACGCCCAGCATATGAATTCTAGGCGATTTGGTTGATAGTTACCTGGAAGGACGTATCGTGATTGGCGCAACTCTCACATGTATTGTACTGAATGCACGTAGGTAAGGCTGTTAGCCTCAGCATTGTGTTGTTCGTGATCTCGTGGTTCTTGAATGACACACGATGATATTCGTAGATTTTCTGATGTCTCACATCTAAACAGAAGAATATTATTGTTTTATAGTTTTGTGATGTTGTAGGTAGTTTATAAAGTGTCGTGTTTGTATGCATATATAATAAACCTAGCAAGTTAACAGCATAGCAAAGTGGCGAAGCAATCAGCTTTGTAGCGGTTTCTAAGGGTTGCCGTTGAGCAATCAGTTTCAAAATAGGAGGTTCAGATGCCTGGGTGATCTGTAATCGATTGCTGAAAACAGAATTTGAAAATTCGAAACCGTTCTCGAGATAATCGTGGGACAGACGAACAGACGGACAGACATCGTGAAATCAATAAGTGACTTCGCAAGCTTCGCCACTTAATAATTATTACCTATAGAAAAAGTTGATATCAAATTTATTGGATTTTTTTTTTTATTGAAATTTATTGTCTAATTTATTGAAACCATTCAATCTATCGTTGTTTTGCCGAAGATAGACATAAGAGCAATTTATAACCTAAATCCGAAAAATTTAAACAAATAAATGCATTAAGGCCTCTCAGTGTATTTACGAAAATTTTATGTAATTACACAAAAACAAAAAGTTATATTAAAATTAGAGGTACATTCAGTAAATAAACATAGTCCCATAAAATATGCAGGGCGTATCACACAAAAATATTATATTTTGTATACTATTAAATAATGCATGATTCATAAAACCCCTGGGTAAGCAATGAAGCTAAATGTTTTATATTTGATGTACAACTTGTATTATTATTATTTAAACAGGAATTGTTCGGATTAACCCCAGCCGCCAAATTTCACGAACGCACATCGCGGCAGAACTCCCGAAACTCACCATCTGGATGATTGGCGGTCAACCACTGTGCGATTTAGAAGATGTTTCCTTCCTCGCACGACTTCCTTGTGGAATCGATTACCATCAGCGATTTTTCTGGACCGATACGACTTAGGGACCTTCAAGAAAAAAGCCTACTCCTTTTTAAAAGGCCGACAACGCATCTGCAATTTCCCTGTTTCCCCTGGTGTTGCAGTTGTTCATGGGCGGCGGTAGTCACTTACCATCAGGTGAACCGCATGCTCGTTTGCTCCCTCTCCTATAAAAAAAAATCCGCTGTGATTCTTGCAGGTCTCCGACCAGAGCTTTTCTCCAAACTAGTGGAAGTGAAGTGAAAAGATAAAATTACTTTCAATGAGTATTACATACTTTAAATCCTTATTGAATAAAACTCTTCTGTTCGACTTTACAAATGACGAATTAAATTAAATGAAAAATTTATACGCCTTTTCGGATAGTAGGACTTATCAAATAAAAAAAAGGAATATCTTAATTTTTATTGTAACTTAATAATGTATTTAATAGCAGGCAGTTTGTATTACATTTAATTAACGGCTCACATTTACCAAAGAACATTTAATTGAGTATATTCTATGATTTTATTGAAAACTACTTTTTGCTTTGGCCCATAAAAGCGTACTGTGGGCTGTGAGACCTGGGCCTCTCTTGCTGTAAGGGGTGACTTGCCTTAATTGTATCGATTCGTAGGCGGTTGCCGGTCTAACTATTGTCTATACGTCTGATTGATTATACCGCCATCTGTAGGAAGTGATAAGACACCCGCGGGATGAAATGGATGGATTTTCTTACGCCACCAGAACACGGCACAGAAAATTTTGTTGTATTTATGTTTACAATGTAATATAAAAATCCGGTGTGCGTGTGTTCGTAATTCTTCTCTTCCTAAACGTCTTGAACGACTTTGATGAAATTTTTAAGGTGTACTTATGGAGAGACACATGGATGGTTCTTAGCTGTTCTTTTTCTTTTTTGTTCTTAGCTATTTATAAGTGGTAGAGCCATGCTGCAGCTATATTAGTAGTATAGTTGTAGCACGAATGGGTCGGCTCGACCGGGGAAGGACCACGCTCTCACAGAATATCAGCGTAAAATAGCAGTTTAACAATGCTGTGTTTCGTATGGTGAGTGTAGAGAACCGGAGATCCTTTTTACTGGAAAACACATTTTAGTCCTGACGGGTGACAACGCTTCTGCATTTTGGTTCGCAAACGAGGATAAATGTAGATGTCTATGGGCCACAGCAACCACTTACCATCAGGTGAACTGTGTGCTCGTTTGTCACCCTATCCTATAAAAAAAATCTCTTACTTGAGAGTCTCTTATAAATTACATGTTTCCTTTTCATTTCGAACAATAAAAGCTTACACTATAAACATACGAATAACACTTAAACACATTAAACTTACGGAAAATGTATTTGTCCGTCAAGTACGCGTCGCTGATACCCACTTTTACGGGATGTTCTTTGTCATCAATCTGCTGCACGGGTATGGGAATGTCCTTATATGTAAATACTATATCACCATTTTGGTAGAGTGTGGCGGCGAACGTGAACTTTTTAGTTGGATCTTCCTGCAGAGTAACATTTTCCCAGATAACAGTAAATTTGCTTCCTGTAACAAAAAAAAAAAACTATTTTGACGCTCGAGAACAGATACATCTTGAAATAGGCGTATGAATGACAAATTAAATTCTTAATCTCATGGATTTTAAATACTTTATTAATTGAGATAGAAAAATAAATTTAATCGGCGATAAAAACTTGACGTTCGACTTTTTGTTTATTTAAGCGATAAGCATATAATATCTTTCGATAATATGCAACTCATATTAATGAATTACATTCTTTATTGCCAATTTTTTTTTCTTTATTTCCTAATGATATTTTTACTTTAAATGTTTAACATTGTTAAATTGTTATCATTGTTATTTAAGAGCAGCGACTCTTTAGCCGCGTCGTATAACGTCGCAGATAGACCTAATTTTCTTCAGCCGGACAAACTGTGGAGTTAGTTGTAAGTTTATCTACCAGCCTACTGTGCAGCGCTCCCAGATTCTGTTCACATTAAATGTCTAGACACTTATTTTTCACCCAGTATTAAAGTAACCAAATGTTAACTTCCCGATTATAGTAGTGAGATAAAGATCGTCTGATTAAAAACAGCATAATGTCACTTTCACCATATTAATTATCATAAAATCTAAATATGCGCGCCCTTTCTCTTACATTATATTATAATTGATATGGTAAAAACGGCACGATCTGCCAAAAATACAAGGAGTGTGCAATTTTAAATTAAACGATTTCTACAATGTCATAGTGATTCTATCCTTATGACTGAGTAAACCTAAATACTTTCTTTAACTTACACCTTTACCCTTACTTAGGTACTAATAAACATACGATTTATAAACTGACGTTAGAATGGATTGGCCGTGCAAAAGAGAAAGAGCATAATGTACGCGTATGTTAGAGCGAGAATGAAAGGCGAGACCATTTACGTACATGCTGTCGGCCTGTATCGGCCTGGCGTCATTCGTGAACAAAACAAATCTCGCTTGTATTTGGAAAATCTCGAGTTTAAACCGAAAGTTAGTATTTACGAGACTAAGTGAAATCCTGCTAATTCTTACTTCACTTTTGTACAGATTGACACTATCGATAACATGTTACCCTAAACTGGCAAAGGTATGCCTTGCATGCAGCCTTATTTAACTTCGTAATATATTTTTCAATTTTTAGGGTTCCGTAGCTAAAAACTCATCTTATGATTTTTTTTAATACAATTAGGATCAAAATTGCAAACTATCTCGAAGGAAACTAGCAACATTTTTACAATAAATTACTTGTCTTTGGAGGACTATATAAAGCTAACGACTTTTGTTTGTACTTTTATTTTTATTCCCAAAAACAAAATTAAAAGTTCTAGTTAATCCCCACCAACATCTTAGTAATAACGTGTGACTACCACATACAATTTTTTTTATTTTAATTATAGATTATAGCAATAGTATCTGAGTATCTATTAATATGTATCTAGTAATATAAATCCATTATTTAAAAAAAAAAAATTACACTTTTTAATACACGTCTCTATCGCGGTTTGATTTTAGTTATTAACTTATAATTTACATACACATCATAACACGCGTATAATTTTTTGAAGTACGTTTGTTTCAGTGACTTTAAATTAACAATTTTTCCTACTCCATTTCTGCCTAGGAGTTTGTCTGGGTAGATATCACGCTTTTAACTAGTGTATATGTATAGATGATGTAACTTCATGCAGCCTAAAACCCGCGAAAGGGCCCAATGCTCTAAACTCTGAAGATATCTAATTTGTCAAAATACAACGATATCTGATTGAACAGATGAACATATATAACTTTCTAAAATCGCAAACATCATTTTGGTTTCGCTGTAGTCAGGTAAAAATATTCACTTTCATCATATGCGTCTAATCAGAAGACACGAACATACAGCAATCTGTATCGATAGTTGAATTTGACACAGACAGTGCATGGTGCAGCACTATTTGTCTCCCACACATGCACATTTCACGCACACTGGTGTATTTTTATTTCGGGCTCGCCCTAATCACTCCATCACCCATCTAGTTTAAACTGTATCTATGCTAATAAACAACATTTCTAAATAACCCAAAGGAAAAAGTAGGACAAAAGTTAAATCTAACGGCAGCATTTTAAAAAATACGTTCCGAAAGACCGAGCAATAAAGTTCGTTGTACGCTTTACAATCTTCTACTTTGTTACACGAATGACTCACATAAAAATAGGTTTACTAAGTGTGCTTTTAATGATTTCTTTATTGTAAATATGAGTTAACTTTATTATATAGCAACGAGGACTTTTCGATAGAACTCTTGGAGAAGAAGAATTCCACCATACATAATTTTCATATAACTTTATCGACTTACGCACAACGCACGCCTCGACAGTACGATTTTTTCAGATTTAATTGAAACAGTGGTTTCATCATAACATTAGCTAATTTGAAAAAAATATTCATAAATTATATGCGTAAACTTTCTTCGAGAATTAGTCTGTCTATTGGTGAATCCCCACAAATTTATGTGTGATTAACGCGATCATATAGAAGGACAGACTCTCGTCATGATTATGCAACTTTATATAAACTAACCACCAGTTTTGGTTAGTTGGAGAAAGTGAGCCAACAAACTTATCACATGTTAAAGGTCCCATGTAGTGTGAAAAAATAGTTCAATCTTACACTTGTGACTCTGATGGTGATTTTGTTGTGACCATTCCCCTAAAATTATCGAAAAGCTCTCTCGGTTCCTCTTGTGCGGCTGTTTACAAACGTTTTAACGCATTGGTAACACAATTTTCCTTGTCAGTCAATTTAAAAATTAATATACCAAATTACTGAATGATTTTATAATATCGCCTCGCATAATTAAAATCACCAAGAGCAGGAACCCAATAAAACCTAGGAAGGGCTGGCGTGGAGATCGAACTCACCCATTCGCGTCATAAGCTGGAACGTGTGATTTATGGAACATGAACTCACCGTCGTCGTACTGTTTGACCACGCTATCGTTGGTAAGCGTGGTGTCGAAATTTGCCATCAGCGGCGCTATGTATTGCGTGGCCGCAAGCCAGTTGTGCACCGGTTCACCCGTGTAAATAAACCCACCCGTCGCCACCGTTATGTTGCGGATCTTGTGGCCGTAGAACGGGAAATCGAAAGTCAATTTCAATGTCTGCAAAGTGAACGTAATATTATTGATGATGTTTAATGTCTTCATAACTTAAAGATTTAGAAATATATATTACTTATGTTTATCTAAATATTTATATATTATGGTAGTGTAGTCCTTGTACGGTCCAACCGTACATTTCGTACAGTTTGACACTTACAAAAATTGAGTTAGTTCACGTCATGTTAGTTTCACCGTAACCACGACGGACACGAACTCATTAACATAACATTTAACATTAACATTTAGCATTATTCAACATATTTAATCTTATATTATTTACTTGTTTATTAAACTGTTTTAACATAAAATTTATATTATTATTGAACATTCGTCCAATAACCGATCATTTTTGGTCCTTCGAGCGAAAAATTAACATTTTTGGTTCTTTGAAAAGTGAATTGTACTCTCGCGAGTTTTAACAAGTTAGATGACATGTTGCGCAAACAATATATTAATTTTAAGGCATTTAAAAGGTCTGTTAGTTGCATAAACATAGACAATATTACGGAAAAATGGGAATTCAAAGATTCTTTAAAAACATTAGAGCCGCGGTGTTCGGCTATAGATTCCCTGCATTGGGAAATTGATCATGACCTCAATGGAGATGACGAAGAATATACAACTACTTTTAGTATGTACGAACAGGAGTTTATGGATTTGAAGAGAAAACTCGATTCCAAAATGTGATTTGTCAATCACCGAGAAAACTGTACGACCAGAATGGATATCCCTACATTTAACGGTAATTATAACCAGTGCATACCATTGAACGATCTTTTTACAGAAACTGTTCACAACAACCCGTCGCTTTCAAATGCTCAAAGGATGCAATTTTTAAAGAGTAAGCTTCAAGGGAACGCAGAGCGTTTAATACAGCATTTGAATATTAGTTCAGAAAATTACGCAACTTATTGGGAAATGCTAAGTCATAGGTTTGACAGCAAGCGACGAATTTTCGTATCTAACATTAGCCTAGCTTGGTTTCCTAATATTCAGCAGCAGGCGGTGAATTAAATTAAAAAATTACATGATACAACTTTAGAATGTTCAAACGCGATCAAAAACTTAGGCGTAACACATGGGATCCGCTGCTAGTTGATGATCCGTTGCTGCTGCAACATATTGTTGCAATAATCCACGACTTTTTCTGCCATCAAGTCGGCGCCACTAGAAAGTGAGGTATAATTTTTTTTGTTTAAAAAAATAACTAGTAATGCAATCAAACATTACTAATATTCCCTTTAACCACTTCTGGTAAGCTTAAAATGCTTGTGTTAGAAGTGGTTCACGTCAGTTGTCGAATGGCGGATTCAAACTTACGACCTTTTGAGCTCGCGGTCCGCGCCCTGCCATTAGGCTATTGACGCTTAATATTTGACAGATTTCATAGCGGGGAAGTTAATTTGTTCGGAAAATGTAAAAGTTATTGTTTCTTTTTGTACTATTAGCTATATTTTATATAATTAATTTAAAAATAAATAAACCAAACCACAGATATTCGTAAAAGTAGGAAAATTAAAAAAAAGTTTAAAATGTGCAAAAAATTAAAGAGCAAACCACTGACGCATTGTTTTGAGTATTAATATAATACTCTAGAAACTGATAAACTTTTATTATAAAAAAACTTCTCAATTAAATTACATTGTGTAACAAAAAACTTTACCTCAGTGTCAACTAGCGACATCTGGCGAGCAGAAAATTATTAGCCCTCATTAGATATGGAAACATATACAGGATACATAGAATCGCAAAAAAGGCCCAGAGATCTTCTACCTGTGTTTTTTAAAATTTACAACACTTGTATTATGTCGGCGTAAACAAGGAAATACACCAAAATTAAACGTTCAGTCTCAATATAAATTCAAAAATTCATTATCGAGCAATAATTACAAAAATAAATTCAATTTTAATCACAATACGACAAACAAACCTATTGCAAAATTATATAACGTTACTGGAATCAAATGTCCTTTTTGTAAATGATGATCATGGCATTTACAATTGCGAAACATTGTTAGCAATGTCAAATGGAATTAAATTAAAAACCACTAACAAATTGAAACTTTGCATAAATTGTTTATTTAGCCACAACGGAAATCCGTGTATTTCAATACAAAGGTGCCGCAAATGCTTGCAGAAACATAATACTCTGTTACATGACGCGTGCACAAAGTTCATATCCGGTAAGCAGATTGCGAAAAAACCTAAAGAGTCCGTGACTAAATCTCCCCACGTGTCACAAAATAATTTAGGAGGAGAAATTTTGTTATCGACTGCTTTGGTGAAAGTTAAGGAACCGAGCAGATCAAAAGAGCGTTGATAGATCAAGGATCCCAAATCTCGCTCTTATGACACTTACGACATTGAAAATATTCAGAAATTTTGGGAAATAGAACAAAAACGGAACATACAGAGTTGTCCTTAGAAGAACAGCATTGCATACAATACTATACTTCAACTACGAGACGTCATGAAAATGGTCGTTATGAGGTTAAGCTACTCTTAAACCCGAAATTAAAACAAAATCAATGGCAATTGCACAGTATCGGAATTTAGAAAGAAAACTTATAAAACATGATAATTTCACGGAAAAATATAAAGCCTTTATTAAAGAATATGAAACAACATACGGACGGTCATACGATGCCAGTGTTATCTTCTTCCCATGGTGTAGCGCGTGCCGAGTCAATGACCACAAGCCTCCATGTCGTTTTTAACGCATCAGCAAAAACTTCGAGTGGATAGTCTTAATGATTTAATGTATAAAGGGCCTAATTTACAACAAGATTTTCAGTGCTTATTATTAAAATGACGTCAATATAAATATGCTTTCACTGCAGACGTGGAGAAAATGTATCGGCAGATTATGACAAATGAATAAGACCAGCGTTATCATAAATATATTTGGAGAGAGTCACCGGAACAATCTTTGCAATCATATCAACTTAGCACAGTTACATATGGCACCAAGTCTGCACCATTTTTAGCAATTATGACGTTAACATAGCTAGCAGAAGACGAAATGGCCACCTACCCGGAAGCATCATCGGTTTTAAGAGGCTTTTTATATATACGATCTCGTGCATGGAGCTCACAACATCAGCAAGGTAGAAAGTTGGTTAACGATTTAAACACATTATTACATTAGGTTTCACTTTGAGAAAATGGGCGTCGAATAACAATGAACTGCTAGGAAAGTCATAAAGAGAAGAAAACATAATTTTTAATTTTAAAACTGAATACGTAACAAAGACTCTCGGACTCTGTTGGTTAAACTGTGAGAGCGTGGTCCCTCCCCTGTCGAGTCGACCCATTCTTGCTACAACTATACTACTTATATAGCTGCAGCACGGCCCTACCACGTATGGAAAGTTTGAGCCATTATCTACAGTGATAACTGCTCAAACTTTGTAGGCGCCAATAGGACCCTGCAGGATGAATACCAACAACTTCAGCACATATTTAACAACAACTTTTTGATGGAGCTTTCAGAGTTGAATATCGAATGGCATTTCAATGCTCCCTAGTGGCCAAGCGCTCGAGGTTTATGGGAGAGAGCTGTGCGCAGTTTAAAACATCACCTGAAACGTGTGGTTGGTGATCAAAAGCTAACATATGAAGAATACTCGACAGTATTGAGTCAGATAGAAGCGTGCTTAAACTCAAGACCCTTGTGTCCGCTAACTGAAAACGTGGAAGATTTGGAGTTCTTGGCACCTGCACATTTTTTAACAACAAATGTAGGTTCCAGCATAATAGAAACGTCCGAAGATGCCAGGACAAGATGGCAGCTAACAAAACAAATATTTCAAGGTGTGTGGAAAAGGTGAAAACGGAATACCTTACTCAATTATCTAGTAGGAGTAAGTGGCTTCGACCGCAACCAAACATGAAAATCGGTGATATGGTCATCATTGAAAATTGTAAACGTAAAAGTAGTAGAACTTCACCTAGGTAGCGATGGACATGTAAGAGTGGTAACATTAAAAACAAAAAACCGTAATCTTAAAAAGCCGGTCAGTAAACTGTCATTACTACCCATTGATATGTCATCACAATAAAACGAACAAAAAGACAGTTCGAGCTACTTTATACAGAAAATAACCCATAAACAAAAAAATAAGCTACACGGCAAACGCTCCAAATTCAGCTCTGTTTTTTATATGTTTAATTACACCTGCATTTCGTACAAGCTCATACAATATTACAATTTTTAACAATAACCAGTCTATTCACTTCGATCCGGTAGGTAAAATGCAGATAATCCAAGATAAATGGACACTTATTGTGTATTACAACTTAGATCCTTATTGGGAAGGAATTGAAGCATTTGAAATATTTTTATAACATTTAAAAGAAAGATGTATGAACATAAAAGCAGATCACTTATGCCATATGATATTGTTACAACTACAGCACGATTTCTCAGAACTGCAATATTACAATGACCTGCTATTGAATCAGCATTTCGTCGGACGCTCCAGACAGCGATGGGGACTTATGAATGGAATAGGCTACTTGGCAAATAGTTCGTTCGGCGTATTGGACGAACGTTTCCCGGAACATTATAGTAAGGATATTGAACTTGTTAGACAAAACCAAAACCATTTATTGAAATTATGGTAGAACCAAACGTGATTGGAGTCTGAATATAATTTATTAAAATGTATCGAAGATTCGGTAGCCAAAAAACATAAAATTATTAACAGACATTTGATAAACTTGGAAAAACAGACCAACAATATGCAAGTGGAAATAAAAAAAAACGTGTCAATGACGCAATATTTTACTATCTCTTCTTTGAATAACCAGCAATATGCTTCAAAATATAAAAACGTCTCAGGAGAATCTTCTTGAAATTATAACAGACATATACCATGGTCGATTTAACATGCATTTATTAACAGACGAACGATTTCGAGAAGAACTCCACATAATTTCTGGTCATTTAACAGAAGATATAACATTACCGATAGAAAATATACAACAAGAAGTTCATAAAATTCGCAATCGCTATAGTTTGACAATTCCAAAATTAAGTTAGTTTACGTTTTCACAGTAACTGCGACTTACGCGAACTCATTAACATAACATTTAACATTATAACATTAACATTAAGCATTATTCAATATATTTTAATATTATATTAATTACTTCTTTATTAAACTGTTTTAACATAAAATTTAAATTATTATTGCCTACCTACTACTATTATTATTTCCTAGGACTGTTCGGGTATTGGACATTCGTCCAATACCCGAACAGTCCTAGGAAATGAGTACGGTGCATATTTTGTAAAAATAGGATTTTCAATGCTCAAATTTAATGGGTCCTCTAAGATTGTGTAAATTCTTTATTTACATTCTGTCTTTACACATATTAAAGGGGTTTATGAATAAAAGCCATATAATTTGTGTGTACAAATACGTGAATAAAAATGTGTTCAACTGACCGTGGGAATCTTCCAATGCGTGAGAGAAAAGTAATATTTATTTTGCTTTTGTACCTGTACAATGGTTTCAGCGAGAAGTTATTGTAAGCAAAATCGCATATGATGTGAAATGAAACTCGATCAATGTGGGAGTGATGTTTCCACCTTATTTTATGTTTCCTAAGTAAGAGTGAAATGGACAAGGGTTTTCGGTGGTTGATTAAGTATTTTGTTTTAATTTTAATGCTGATATTTATGAGATGTTCGCTTATATGTTTTTTTTTGGAAACGATCAAAACGTCACGGAAGAATAATAGGATACTTCTTAAGCAACTACGCTAAGTAAAGATAAGTGATTATTATGAAAATAGATTTAAGATTGGCGTGAGAAATATAACTATCTCGTAAATTATTATTTAAATATTTGCGGTTTATAGATATATAAATATTAAATATGTATGTTATTTATTATGTATTAATTATAACTTACAGTGGCACGTCTGTGCGAATTGCTGAGGACGTCGTGGACTTCTGCCTTGGGTCCGGTGATGTTAGCCCAGAACTCTTTGACATAAGACACGTTGCCGATGAACGATCTGTTGTAGAATATGTAGTTATCCTGTCGGCAATAGCATACCCAATAATTAGAATAAAATCTATTATGCTGTATGTATGCTGCCGCTTTTATATCGACTGTAATATGTCATAATAATGTTCATTATTAAATCTAATTATTTTTATATAATACACATTTTTTTTGTTTAATTAATAAATTTTAATGTTTAAGCTCCGATCGACGAGTATGTCTATTTGAACGGTTTTAAACTTAAATCAATTTAGAATATTATAACAGCTTTTAAATTAGAACTAATATCATTATTATTAATACCTGTTTGAAGCAGTTGTTTAACATAATAAAGTTATTTCAAACCACATTCAGTTTCTACGCACGTAAACAATTTTTATATTATGTTAAATAGCATTACCTCCACACTACGAATTTCTCCTGAATCGTAGAGGTGTTTTACATACATAAATTGCACACGGACAAATATTCATACTAGCTGCTACTATTATTTTTAGGTTAAACGAATATTTGACCATGGTAAGTTTCGAGTCCGCGATTCGCAGAGTCGCGAACTAACGCTTAACCACTGCGCTATCGAGCCGTCAATGTACAGATGCTTTTTATTATAAGTTAAAGGTATTATTCAAAACTTTAATCATCTATCTATCTGCCTAAACTAAAATAAAATTACTATTCTCAGGCCAAATACTATTTAATAAAAATTTTAAATGAAATGACCTTGGTATGGTTATATCTTTTAACCTGGAATAACATTTAGGATATATTCTGAAAGAAACGATGCCAATTTCATAAAATTCAAAGACTTGATAACACAAACAAGTACTGCAGTACTTTTTGAGATGTAACTTTGGTAAGTGTACCACTGCACTGACCGCCTTTAGCTGTTAGGGTAGAAGTTTCTTCGAACCTTACTTTAGGCGATTCATTCGGTTCATTGAGTCCACAATCAATGCACCGTAGGCGCAAAATACAAAGTAAAAAGTGAGGTTACAGTCTATGTAAATGTATTTCTTAATTTTACGGTATTTTGGAGTAATAAGCCCGCCGCATTGCTTCAATGCGTGTTGGCATCACTTTACGATGTTTTGCTTCACCGGCGAGCACGTGATTAATTACCATTTAAAATTGCAAGTAACAATTTAAATAGTGCCGGCGGTACTAATGTACGTATTAACACAATAAGTTATAATAGTGACGGAGTAACTCCGTGATAAGAGTGGATCGATCTGAATTCAGAATATTTGCAGGCCGCGAATTAGTTCGCTTATATACATTTGCACTTTGTATTAATACACACACAATCGAAACTATAAATTATATTTGTAATACTTACGTATGTCAAGCTCGTCAGGTTATGTTCAGCTTTGATCATTTCCGGGGTCTCCTTAAATACGTCCGTTACATCTAAAAAAAACATTCTTTATAAGTGCGAGAGTATCATTTCAGTGCCTATTAGCCTTGCGTGATGTGGTCAAAACTTTTAAGATTGCACGCCAGTTGCTGCTGTGTGAACAGGCCTATCCAGCAATGGATTTAGATAAGCAAGTAAATACGTAAATCACAGACATTAATAACGTTGGTTCTCCAATAAAACTGTATTTATTCAAATAATAACATAAGAAAAGTTTCCTGATGCTTTTTGGCGATACAATTATACTTTTATTTTAATTCAGGATTACAAAATAATGTATAAAAATGCGTGCAGTGGCGGTGTAGAAGAATCCACTACCCCATGCCTATGATATCCCATGAATGTTGTAAGAGGCGATTGAGGAAAATAAAACTGGACTGTTATACGTGGTAGAGCCATGCTGCAGCTATATTAATAGTATAGTTGTAGCATGAACGGATCGGCTCGACCGGGGAAGGACCATGCTCTCACAGAGTACCAGCGTAATGCTGCTGTGTTTTGAATGGTGAGTGTAGATAACCGGAGACTCCTTTTACTGGAAACGAGGCATTCCATCTTAGTCCTCACGGCTGACAACGCCGCTGCATTTTAATTCGCAAACGAAGATAGATGTAGATGTCTTTGGGCTACAGCAACCACTTACCCATCAGGTGGACTGTGTGCTGGTTTTTCATCCTTATTCTATAAAAAAATTTGCGGTTCTTTTTTATAAGAAGATAAGATAAGATAAACGAGCACACAGTCCATCTGATGGTAAGTGGTTGCTGTGGTCCATAGACATCTACATCTATCTTCGTTTGCGAATTAAAATGCAGCGGCGTTGTCAGCCGTGAGGACTAAGATGGAATGCCTTGTTTCCAGTAAATAGGGTGGGTCTCCGGTTCTCTACACTCACCATACGAAACACAGCAGCATGATTCTATCACGTATAAAAACCAACACTCTCGCCAAGTGTGGCAAAATAGCAAATATCCTTCATATGAAGCATATACATCAAACATAGTTAAACTAGTTAACGGACTTTAAAAAAAATAAGGAGATTAATAATTCGACTGTATGTTTTTTTATTTGTATGAATATTACGCGATATCTTCGTCAATTTTAAACCGATTTTGATTATTCGTTTCCTATTAAATCCGTTATACTAAAGGGATGGTCCTACTCCCATATAAATTTGGAGAAAAAATTCCACCCCTAAGGTTAAATAGGCGATGAAGTTTATAATATAAATATTTAGAGTTTAGTCGAAACAAAATTATTTTTTAGTCCACTCAAAAGAATAATATAAAAATACTGAATTAACTTCACATTCTGAAGTCTGGGATGTAATTTTTCTATAAACAATGTTGTCTTTTCTCAGAATAATTTATTAAATGTAGATTTTTACTATCTTGGACATATTTGACTACGAATCTTAAAAATCGAAACTTGTAAATTAATAATTTTATTAATGATTCCGGTTTATTAAATAATTTATTATTAATAATAATGGTATTTAAAAGCATTTAATACACGCTATGTGTGTAACTGCTTTTTTATACTGTGATTGCGCTATGGCTCGGTGTGCTCGTAAAAGATAAAACTTTATTTTTATGTAAATATGTTTAGCTATATAGACTTAGACGGACATAAAATGTTTTTAGGGCGCAACTGAATGACGACTAGAAGAAAATATAAAACAGTGGCTTTAAGTTTACAATTTTCATCTCCTTAGTCAACTTTATTAATAGTTTTAGTAAGGCAGTGTGCTTTCAGAATAAAAGATATTACTAAAATTATTGTTTATTAAACTGTTACAAAAGGTTTTTTGAAACTAGTTGATTTCCATCTTAAAATGGAACGATTATTATTTTACTTTTCCTTAGAAATGTTAAAGACAAAATGGTAAACTATTCGTCGGAGCCGCAACTAATCAACGAGTAGAATTGATAACATTCATTCGTTGTGGTGATTTTCCATTAACAACTTAATGGTTTTACTTGATATGGGTCATTGATTCGTTTTTAATGAAGGCAAACAAGAATATTATTAATGTAGTTATACAAAAGTAAATTAGTTGAAACAAAATTATCAAATAACAGCGCACATTATCGTGCTATTTCAGGTCGAAGAAATTGCAATAACTGCATTTCTTCCTATGCTTGTATTAGCCTCGTTATTGCCGTCTTTCATACCTTTTTGAGTGGTCAGATGTTCAAGAGAACAACGAGAATATCGTCTAAACAGTTACATTAATTTCTACCTCCCCATTTTTTCTACAAATTTTTAATTTAACGGACCGCCACTGAGCAGTTACCCATTAAAAAAAAAACGAATCATTTACATCGGTCCACTAGTTTCCGAGAAACCGATGAATATGCATAAGGATATATAATTTAAAATAAAACAGAAAACCAGTAAGATTGGAGACACTACTAATGGTATCAAGTTTAAATTATATTAAGTAGAGGATTTTGTTTTAGTTGTAAGGGATGACATTTATCTATATAAACTTGAAAAGTTGAACATTATCTAACTACTGCTGAATATATAGATATCCACCATAGATTGCTTTATATCATATTTGCCATAGACGCTGCGTTTGGCTGGAGGATTAGCAACATCAGTTTTTTTAATACATATTTTGGGTAATGTACATTTCTGACATCATGAAGATGTTTGTAGCCATATCCAGTTTGATTTCTACGTGTCGCCTCCTACGAAACCTATAATATGATATCAGGCAGTGGATCCTGTCTGATCCCACGCCATTCATTCCTCTAACGCCGCCACTACGAAGGATTATCCAATTATTATCGAAGTATAGGATTAGCATAATATATCCTTAGACTTTTTAATTATAGTAAGTTAAATATCTATATTTTAATTATTTAAATAGTTTACCGTTACAGTCTATTAAAGTCCACTGCTGAATATAGGCCTCTCCCACAGATTGTCTTATAGGGGGGATATTTGCCATAGTTGCCACACTGGATAAGCGGGTTGTCAACGGCATATATTATTTTTAGTAATTATTAGAAAGATGATGCTGCCTATCTGATTTGTTTTACCCTTGTCGCCTCTCTTACTACACCCACGGGACGATATGTGGTCGTGGATATTCTTAAACCGCCACTACACAACAAACAACTACAAGTCATCTGCACCATGTTATAATTTGAAAATCGTCAATAATAATATTAAAATACATTGATATAAGTTTAAGTCTAGTCATTTTTCAATGTATAAAATAAACTTTTAATAAAAAGTAAAAACCGGCATTAAAAATTAACAGAATTAAATAATTTTTAACCATCTTCAAAAGGTAGGAGGTTCTCAATACGAGTGTATATTTTTTTTGTATGTATGTTACGCAATATTTTCGCGAATTGTGAACCAATTTTAATGATTCTTTTTTATTAAATAGTTTATACTTCAAGGGTGATCCTATATAAATTTGGAGAAAAAATTTTACCCTTGAAGGTAGCAAATAAATTCTTTTATAGAAATTTGAAGTCGCTTTTTACTTGTTGTTAACATTTATAATTATCACATAACAAATCGGGGCTTCTCGGGCTATGTCTTTGCACCAAGGTCAGAAGCTATTACGTGGAAATGATTTCATTCTTTCTAGTTAAAGTCGCTCATTGCTTTTCATTATAAGTTTATATTTTAAATATAAAATAAATAAGAGTTTTATTTTACTACAATACTATTCACGAGTAAACTTTTATTTATTGGCTTATAAAAAGTATTTCTATTGACATGAGCATAAGTCCAGGCTATTGGCATTATAATCATCACATATACGATGTATAAATTACACTAGAGAAATCAAATCTGTTGCATTCAATAACTTGAACATAATATGTTAAGCATTTATAAATAATAAATGTCTAATACTTAATTTATTCTGGATTTTTTTAAATTTATCCCCCTGAGAAATTTTAAATCTATCTATACTATAATAAAACTCTAACACGACATCTGTCTGAAAACGCATCACACAAAAACATGTGAACCCATTTGGATGGGACTTTCACTGGCAGATAACTGATATTATAAGGAGTAGTACCTTAGGCTACTTTTATTTTTGGGTTCAGTCAAAAAATTCCACGCACGCGCAGTTAGTAACAGTTAGTTGTTAAATAAGATTATTTAAGTTGCGATAATGTTATCATTGAATGAGAATACTTACTGTCATCAGGTAGGAGCGGTTCGCTTACTTGTGACGTATTTTCACCATGAAATATGCCTGTACCATTGAACCCTAATAGGGGTGTCTTCGTTACTGCCACGTTGGGCGTAGTAGTGGGCTCTGTAAAATAATTTTAAAAACATGATAAACACACGACGGAAAAGTCAATTGAAAAATTGCTAAGAAACAAAACCGTAGAACAATAATTATGATAAGAGGAATAAGTTGGACACAAGGCTTTGTTGATGATACGTAGGTGTGACTGAATTTTTTAGTAAATAAAATAATAAATCAAAGTTAGTAGTTACTAATACTTTTGTTATTTTTAAAAGTATTCTTCATTCCTGTGTATTGAACCTTGAATATGGATAACGTATTGGATGGAACCACTGAGAAGGATCTTCTTAAGCGGTCTCTTCTATGAGTTTTCAATGTATTTTTAGTTATACTTAAATAGAAATCCCTAGATGCCGGGTCGGGAGCATTATCTCTGCACGTGTTTATACGAAATTATGGCGTTGCTACGAGGCAGCTGCTGCTAATTTTTAAACCATCAGGTTGTTATTGCTAATATCTTCAGTAACTATATTTTTTAAATCCAGCAGAACTATTACGCCCTGACACATTTTTTCAAAAAAAAAAATCCCTTAAAATAATTTTTCTCGAAGTAAGGTTGACATACAACATTTTTATACGTGTTAGAGCCATTCTGCAGCTATATTAATAGTATAGTTGTAGCACGGATGGGTCGGCTCGACTGGGGAAGGACTACGCTCTCACAGAATACCAGCGTAAAATAGTAACTTAAAGCTGTTGTGCTTCGTATGGTGAGTGTAGGGAACCGGAGACCCTTTTTACTGGAAACGAGGCATTCCATCTTAGTCCTTGCGGGTGACAACCATCTGCATTTTGATTCGCAAACGAAGATAAATGTAGATGTCTATGGGCCACAGCAACCACTTACCATCAGGCTGACTGTGTGCTCGTTTGTCATTCTTATCACCATTGAGAGCTGCGATGGAATGCTCACCACACTAAATACAGCAGCAATATTCAGATAATTTACATGGGTGTGCCGTTGTTGAGCCGATACAATGTTGAAACTCTAATAAAGCTACAACAAGACTCTACGACAAACTAATTAATTAAAAAAGTAAGTAAGCACACATTGTTCCGATTTCATTTCGGTTTCGAGTTTTTGAAAATATAATACGAGTACAGCTATTATTTCAAAGAGTAAACAAAAGCGGTAATATGATATAAAGTTATCGCTTGTCTAAAATATATATTTTGCTGTGCTTTTATTACCGTGAAGGTACATTACAATCAAGGTCATAACAATTATAGCTCCTACGTTTAAGCTGTTGTGGCAATACCAGTGGTAGTACTAACTTGACTCTTGAGTAACATTTATTTTATTTACATACATAATCATCTTGCAAAATCTATATAAATAAAATGATTGAGGTTTGCAGTTGTGCACGCTTCACGGAAACACTACTGGATAGATTTCAATTAGGTTTTTTATGTTTGATTTCTTAGACACTTGGCCCTTATTTAATAAAATAACTTATTGCGATATCTTCATTTAATATAAAGATATTAAAGTTTTAAGAAATAACGATTTTTATAAGTACTACGTGTTCAGTGATGTGTGTTTTCTTGCCGTGGAGAAGAAGTGCGTAGGAGAGGCGAAGTCTCCTCTACCTCTGCCTCATGATAAAGTTAGGGCCAGCCGCGCATTATGGAGACCTGATGCTGCTCAGTTGTACCTTGATCAATTGCCCCCCCTAGTTTCCTATAGTTTTTTCAGTAATTTTCACCGTTAAATTACTAATTTTCTTACAGTCATATAATATATCCAAAACTTTGTTAATATATCAAGCAATGCGGAGGAAGTCGCGGGTATCAGCTAGTAACATATAAAAGCTGCATACTTCCACTACTAGTACCAGTTTACCAGAGAGGTCTCGAACCCAGAAAGTAATTTTCTGCCGACTTCAAAAAGGAAACGGTACTCAATTCGACTGTATCTTTTTTATGTGTGTTACTCATAACTTTTTACTGGGTGAACCGATTTCGATGATTCTTTTTTTATTTGAAAGCTGGTACTTCACATGTGGTCCCATATGAATTTGATCAAGGTCAGAACAATAGTTTTTGAGTTATTCTTAATAATTTATATTGAAGTCGACTGTACAAAACTTTAATTTTAAATTATAGTTTGTATATTTAAAAATCCAGCAGCGATTGTAATTTTCCGTTTTTAGTAGGATAAAGAAGTTTCAGCATAAGTAATATAGGCATACGGCGATGAAAAATTAATAAAAAAAACATCTCATACATTCTGTCTTTTTTATCTTTTAAATTCAAAATGCGTGGTAATGCATTTTTTAACTTATGTTTAAAATTTGGCTACTCTTTGAATAATAACCCCGTATATTTTCGAGTTTGATCCCCACTATTGTTAATTGCATTTTTAAATACTCGCAGAATTTATCTTGTTTTCCATTACTGATTTGGGTTTTTTACGTCTAGAAAATACGTCATGGTGGTATGTCGCTATCCGTCGCGTCCGGCTTTACCCATACTCAACGCTTACGACACACACGAAACGAAAAATGGAGCGAGATTCTTTTATCTTGCTACCATTGAGCCAATATACGGCATTGTGAATTTTGGGAACATAAATCTAAATTTATTGATATAATTTGTTATTTAAATAAAAAATTTATATAATTCTAGTAACGGTCTTAATTATTTTCTACTAATACCAATTATAACAGCACGTAATGTATGCACGACATTGAGTAACAGACGAGTCTCATACGATCGACTGATGTAAGAAAATGCATCCACGAACATCATCATCATCATCGGTCCGTAACAGTACAATTTACTAATACTAATTTACTAGTACTAACTAGTAGGAGTTGCCTAAATTGTCATGTTCGGCAAACGGATTGACGATCGGAGTACTAGTGCCTATTAATAAAAAATAACAAGTCTATTGTTCATTTTACATATCCCCGAATCATATTTAAATCTTATACATGCCATCGGTAGCTTCGGAGTAAACGTTCGCCTTAAATTTCATAGTATGTTTACCTAAGTAATAATTCCCATCAGTAGCAATGAAATTCTGTATTGCAATTATAAGAGATAATTTAGCACGAGTTTAAAGAATCAAGTCTAAGGATAAGAAAATACCACATTGGAGCTATTATTATCTACTACTATATTATCTACTTTAAAATTCCTTTCAGGAATGCGTGTAAATCTGAACACTTACCACCAGGTGAGCGGTGCGCTCGTTAACCTACTTTTATTTAAAAAATAAAATAAAACACACAACAGTGGGACGTATAAAGCCTTGCAGTCTTCCTTAATATTTTTACTGAGTACGTGCTTAGAAATTACTTAATAGTTTTGGAAATATTTTTAAAAAAATTTATCTTAATGTGTCGTGAATGCGTTTTACAGGCTCAAATTACACAAGTATAAAAATTCAGATTCGGGTATGCAGGCGTTACATATGCTTGTCCTCTGGCGCGAATAGAACCCATGAAATAACATATTTTAGTTCCAAATTGACCTTTGCAATATTTATTCAAATAGGAATTGAAAGTCAAGACAGCTACGACATTGGTTCAACAAGTCCCTACTGCGGAAGACCTTGTGAAAGGCGGCAAGAAACTCACAATTGGACTATTTATTCCTAAATAATTACAATTCACTTTTATATACATAAAAAGTCAAGTGAAGCTAACAGCCTATCAAAAGTTCATTACTGAACATAGGCTTCCTCCATAGATTGCCTTAGTGGGGAGATATTTGCAATAGTTGCCACACTAGGTAAGCGGGTGGTCAATCGCAGTTGTTATTAAGAAGACTGCTACCCATCGTAGATGCCCAAAAATGTATAGAATAAGGGTGACAAACGAGCACACAGACCACCCGATGGTAAGTGGATGCAGTGGCCCATAAGACATTTACATTTATCCTCGATTAGGGATCAAAATGCAGATGCGTCGTTCACCATTGAGGACTGAGGTGGAATGTTTCGTTTCCAGTAAAAAGGATCTCCGGTTCTCTACACTCATCATACAAACACTAAGCTACTATTTTATACCGGTCAAGTTGACCCATTTGTGCTACAGCCATAGTATAGCTGCAGCGTGGCTTTTTTTTTTGGTTCGTTTCTCTCTGTCGCTTCTTACGACACCCATGGGACGATATGGGGTAGTGGATATTCTTAAACCGCCACTATGCACGTCACTGCTACACTAAGAATGTTTTTAATATACGCTTTGAATTTATCAGTTCAGCGAAAACAACACTCGCAGCGCCGCCGACAAACGCTAAGCTATACGAGTATGTAACCTTTGCTCTTTTTCATCTTCCTATTAGCATGTAAATGTCCCTGGCGTTGTAAGAATTTGTCTTCCATTGTATCGTGGAGGCGGTTAAAAAGTAGGATTTGTCTAAATCGTGTTGGTGCTCGTAGTATCAGATGTTTACACCTCAGACGCTGCTCTCCATCGCGGATATGGAAATTTCCCGCCTTTGACGGCCCCATTGGGCTAGTGACCGCAAACGCAAATGCTGACCATGCAGTCTCGGGTTCGAATCTCGAGTCGGGCCAAAATCAGTTATTGGAGTTTCATTATCATCACAATTGGGGTTTAATGTCCAGAAATTGTCAGTAAAAGTTTCAAAAGCACTCTATGCCGGTCCCGCGCCTCATCTTTGTCCGTAATGACGCCCCTTCGAACTTATGAGAGTGAATGACTTAATTTTAGCGCTTCATTAAATTGTGCAGTCTCCATAAATGCCAGAGATCAAGGACCTAGATCTAGATCGCACACCTCATGAATCATGGGATCGGAATATGCGCGCCAATTTCAATATAAAAGCTCCTTAAAATATTCTAAATACATACACCACAGTATTATAAACAGGAACAAATAAATGTTAGGTACTCCCGTTAGTATCTATAAGATGTAATGAAAAATACTATGTTATTGTAATAATAGTTATCTATACAAATAAATAAAATGGAAGTGTCTGTTTGTAATATTAAAATAACAGCTTTTTACTAAATGCATATGAAAGTATAT